GGAGCAGCACACGCCAGTGTGGGCCCTCATGCCCAACCGAATTGGCGTGCATGTTGATTCCCAGCCCAGAGGAGGGATGGAGCCAGCACTTCTACTGTTTTTCTGTCATCTGCTCACTGCATCATTCCATCCTCTCAACATCTTTTCGTCGTAGGTTGCGTGGTGACCACATGAAGCTCAGCATGTGGGGGTCAGGGCAAGGAATCACAGTTCTTGGTTGTTCCTGGGCAGCGAGCCTTCAGCCGGGGCACTTCAGCAGCACTGGTGTGTCTCTGGGATGGAGCTGTCTCTCTCATTTAAACCAAAATATAAGACATCCCCGCACAGTGTGCGTCCTCCATTTAATAGCAGCTGATGGATTTATCACTTACAAACGCATCCAGGGCCTCCTGCTCTGCTCTGTGGCTATCCCCATCTCACGCTGTTTCAACTCATTGAGCTGACCCTGTTTTCTCATTCCCCTTGAATGTCGATCAGCTCTCCTGTGCTTTTTTTTGTGCGTGCTCCTTAATCTCACATCCTTTGACTCCCTCCCAGCTGCCTTTATCCCAACCTAATCCATTTGTATCTGAATCACTGGCCCTCATTTCTGATTTCCCCACCACTCATCTCTCTAATCTACCAGCCCTCTATCCCTGGAGGCAGCTCCTCCTCTGCCCCTCCCAGCATACCAGGTCCCCTTGCTCTGCTAAAAACCTCTCTCAGCTGCTCAGCATCAGCCTGGTCCTGGCTCATTGCTGCCAGGTGGTTCCCTCACAGATTTCCTTTACTGATTTTCTCCCAGCCCTTGCTATGCATCCCTTAGGGGAACCTGTGTCACTCATTCTGTGTGTTCCGTCAGCAAGTACTGATTTCTTCAAAGTGATCACTCCAGGTGTGTGACACAGTTAATGCTGTAACCCAGAGGCTCTGCAGGACCTTTTCCAAAGGTATGAGCTGCCAGCACCGCCTGTCTCCCTCTGGCAGGGATTGCTCTCAACACACACAGGGATTTCCCCAGGAACCTTACAAGTCTGGGCACAACCATGCTGAGAAGAAACACGTTTCTCTCTGTAGCACTGGTGGACTTAGAGATGCACTTCGGAGCCATCCACACCCTGCCTTTCCCTTTGGACATCCAAACTGTTATTTCTGGGATTCCTTATGGTTGGACGTTTGGCATTTTATAGCACGCGTCTGTCATATCCCTCTTATCTCAGATGATAAAAGTAAGGATTCCTAGCCCTGTGGCCTGCTGTGAGACTGCCTAAAGAAAAGGGAGAAAATAAAATTAAAAACAATGAAATTAAAAGACTGGAAGGAAAGAAAGCAGTTATGGGGCATGAAGGAAGGTCACTCTCTTGGATTTAGTGTGGTGATTGGGAAGTGTTGTGGGCAGATGCTCAGGAGTGTGGCAAGATGCTTCCATAACTATTAACCTAGTGCTTCCCTCTCTGCCTCTTTTCTAGGGTGTAAACTCACCAGCTCCATGGAGAGAAGCTGTAATCTGGTTCTTTGTTTTTTTTTGTTTTTAAAGAAACTCCAGAGTTCATCTGAGCTCTCACATACTATTTCCAAGAGAGGGATGGGGCAGAGCTGTGCCATCTGAAATGGGCTGTGGCCATCTCTCTGCCTCTGTAGATGGCACAGGGTTGTGAGTCAAGCACTTGTTTGCATAAGCAGATGTGCCATTATCACCCAGGACTCAGCTGTGCCCATAGGATGGGGTCCATGGACTTGGAACAGCACCGATTGGCTTAGAGGTGGTTTTCTTTTAGTCTGTTTCTCTAAGGCTGGTTTAAATTAGTGCTTTATGTATGTAATGTAGTCAGCTTGTGATATTTAATAGTTAAGAGATGTCTGTCAGGTATTATTGGTTTGTTTTTCAGCGTGTAACGGGCAGGGTAGCAAGTGCTAATAGGCAGCTCTCTCTGACCATTTTCAGCAGTCACCTTGCCTGCTTCTCGCTGACACGGTTCTTACAGTAATTAATGAGTTGGCACATTACTGGGAGCCTTGTCAATGAATTATCTCCATGCGGAGGGAGCAGCAGAACACAGGTTCCTCTTGTTGTCTCTGGCAAATGGGAGCTGCAGACAGGGAGGGGGGCTGTGAGAAGAGCCCCTGCTCCAGGGGTGCCTGAAATTATGTGCACTGCATATGTTTTGCATACGTCTGGTTTTATCCTTTGAGTTTTCACGTCTGATTAGAGTTTCTGAGGGGATTATTTTGCCTGGTGAGGGAGTGCAATTTGTTATTAACTTGATGCTACAGGAGCAGAGAAGAGGTTCAGCTCCATTAGTTACATGAAGGCATCTACGTGGAAGTATTTTGTCCAAGTAATAGAATAAAGGTGAGCTCTAGAAGGATGATCAGCCCCAGGGGCTTGTTCTTGATAAACTGTAATTCACGTTTGGTCATATTCTGGGCCAGAGGCTGGAAATGAAATGATGAGGTAAAACAGTGCTTCTCAGTAGGGCTCCAAACAAGAGCTTTGTCACCAGCAGGGAGCAGGCAGCCATGAGGGCAGCAGGGGAACGTGCTCTTCCTCCTCCCAGGCTCAGCAGGTTGCAGGCAGCCCTGTGGCCTCGCACTGCCATCCTTCTGTTCTGCATCCCTTGTAATGCTCAGACACTCAGCAACTTGGGTAGCTGCTGGCTCTCCAGAAGGACCATGAGTCACTCAGCTGACCTCATGCTGCTCCCATTCTGCAATGTTTTGGATGTTTGTTGAAGCTCCTCAATGAACTTCATTAAGGGATGGGAGGAATGAAAGAGTGAGGTTCTATGAAATTGTCTCCAGTGTGAACAAAGAAGAAAATGTGAACATGAAGCATTTGTGGCTAGAAATACAAAGTTCTGCCTTGAGAGTGTTGGAAACATCCAAATAATTTTTGCCAGGACGGTATCTCTGATAAAGCAGATTTTATTCGCGATTGCAATGGCGGGCGTCCCGCAAGCAGGAGCGCACCTATGGACACAAGATGACAGTCTTTATACCCTGTTTTTCCCTTATCCATCCCCCCTGCCCTGTTTCCCCATTGGCTGGGTACTCCAGGTTCACAATCTTATCAGTTGACGTTTGTTGATTCGTGTGTTATCTGGTGTAGCCATCCTGTTGTTTCCAAGATGTCTCGGTGCTCTTCTTGTATTGATATGGTGATTGTCTCCGAAGTCTTCGTTAAACAAAGAGCACCGGGGGGCGGACGATGCCAGGCCTTCAGATGTCTCTTCAGGCGCTTCCTCGGCATACCATGCTTTGTTCTCTGGTTTGATCTCGTGCAGGATCTTCTTGCGATGTGTGTGACAAAATATACATATATACACCTATATACAGAGCGTGCATTCCTGGGAAGGTTTGTCTAGAGGATAAGCGATGTAAACTATCAGAGTTCTTCCCCAAGTTAAGTAGAAGGACTCCCAAAAGGAATTATGACAACAGAGTTCATGAAATAAAAATATTATCCAATTCTAATGCAGAAACAACATTTGATTCCCACAAGAGTATACTGGGATCTGAGTCTTTATTGCCTTCCTTGAGCCATCTCCTGGTACATGCATCAGTGGATGATTATAAATCCAGTTCAGTGCTCACAGAGAAATCTCTGCTCCTCTGTGTGACATTTCTAGAGGAGAAGGCTTGGCACTTCTGCAGTAGAGGTGGAAATGAGTTCATAGAGTGAGTTGTGGGACAAGCCCAGGATTTGATGTAACTTTTCTGTAGTCGGTATTTTCAATCTAGTACTTGAAACACTGTCAAGAGAGGGAGAGGAACGGCTTCTAATGCACAGCTGACTTCTTCTCAGAGCGTATTTTGGTTTTATACTGATAAATAAGAGCGAATGATTTCAAATGCTAACAATCATTTCTTTTTCTTTGTAAAGTTTGGATGAACTCTGAAGCATCCAGTGCTGCTCTGTGGTTGTGACTCACCTGGGCAGAAGGATACTTCAGCTTCTAAGTTGAGGAGCTGTTCCTTGGTTAAGATGCAGTACTCAGCTCATAACCTGGTTATATAATTAATGTTGTATGAGAAGTCCCAACGCTGCTGGTATTGATTGCAGCAGTGACTTAAAGTAACTCACGCTTCTGTTAGAAAGAAAAATGACATATTTGCTTGAGGAATGGGGGGCAGTCTGTGAGAGCTAAGAAATTAGTGTTTCCTTATAGTGGCTGGGAGTGGTGTAGGATTTATCATCCTGTTTAGTACTTACTTGCTCCTTCCTCTCTACTTGCCAGCCCCAGTAATCTCCAGGGTAACATCTTAAGGCCAAAGCATATCTCTGTTTATCTGATTGTCCAAGAGACTGGGGAATGCTCTAAACAAAAGTTGAGTCCATCTGCAGTTAAAGGGAAGGGTAAAACCCAGCTGAAGTTCTGTGCTGAAGTCATCAGGAGGTGATTCTGGTTATTGCTTGCTGATGGGACAGTGGCTCTCCCCAGGACTGTGCATTTTTCACTTCTACTGCAGTGATGCAAACAAAAGAAAAGAAGCATGGCTGATTTTCATAAACATGTATTTCCCTTTTAGGCTGAAAAGGGAATCCCCCAGGCCTTTCATTTTCTGAGATCATTCAGGTGCATCAGAGCATTTCCAAGTCAATTTGTCATCATTTCAAGGCCTGACTGCCTGTAGTAACAGGGAGGCCAGTGCTGCTGGGTGCTAGTCCTTTCATGTACAGGTTTGTTTCACTCACCTCCAATCCCCAGAATCAGAGAGACTTCTACAGGGGGAGTTCCTCCATTTTCAGTGCTTTAGACTGAGTAGTTTTCTGCACAAATTTTTTCAGCTGCACTTTTATTAACATAGAATTACACTAAAACGTCAGCTGGAGGAGCACACGAATCCTGCTCTTACACCTAAGGACATTATTATGGTCAGTGATGCAGATAACACACACATGTCCAGCCCAGCATAGATATGGTGCCTGTATTGCTCCATTGAACTGCTAAACTATTTTTGGCTCACTTAAGTACTTACAAACTGCTACAGTAAACTGACCAGATTTATTTTTCAGAGCTGAAAGATTTCCCTCACCTTTTCCTTCTTGTTCCGGAATCCCTGGAGGTTTGTCATCAAACATCCTCATTCGTGACCCCCAAGGAAAAGGTGAGTGCAGCTCAATTTAGTTGTTGAGTGTATTGTTGGTGTTACTCAGCTGATGCAGCTGGGGAAGCTGCTTTATGGCAAGAGACAGGCTCCCTCTGTAGTCCTGAGTGGAAGAGCTCTTTTCCAGAGGAAAACAGAGCAGAGACATGGCTCAGCTTTTTCCAGCAGAGCTTCCTATAGAGATTTCTTGCCTGGATGCAAGTTCACAAACCAAGCTTCATCTTTATGAAGGGAGGAAAGGAAAAAAAAAAAACAACCAAAAAAATCCCCAGAGCCCAACAAATGAAATACAAATTTTCAGTTATCCCTCATGCTAGAAATCACACTGCCTGCTGCTTGTACTAAATAGGCCTTCTTAGGTTACAAAAGGCTATCACAACCTTCTGTTGTGTTGTGCAGCAGCAAATTGCAGTAATTATGTTAAATTTAAAAATGTGTTTGTTTGTTTTTTTAATAGGACTTCTCAGCAAGTTCTGTTTTAATTACTCTAATTGTCCCAAACTGCTTTCTGAAAAAGCAAAAGTGTTTTCATGACTACACCTGTTTGGTATCACCTGAGTTTTCTTCAGTAGCCACCAGTGTTGTGACTTGAGTACATGGAAAAAACTCTTCTTTTTCTGAAACTGTGTCCCCTTTTTAGCTTTTCTTCTGGAACCTGAGCTCACAGTGCTCACTGAGGACATGACTTCTGATTTCTCTGGTGCATAACACGTTGGCGTTTTCTGTATCCTGGCCTTCTGGCTCTGGGGCAAACGTTTACAAACTACAGATGCTTTGAGCAGATGTGTCCCAGAGTTTGATCATGCTGAGCTGATGGAAATGACCCGTGTGTTCTCAGGCTTCCTTCCCCTCACCAGATGTTAATGTTTAAATCCACTGGGGCAAATAATTCCAATCAGTACTGGAACTGATGCAATACCAATACCAGAAGCAATATCAATACAGGTACCAGCACAGGATCTGATACCAGAACATCTAAAGGCTGGAAAGCCAGGCTGGCAAAATCATCTCTGTGCTGATAAAACATAGGAACCACTTCTTCCCATTACTGATAACAGAGAATTGCCCAAACACAGCGAAAATGAAAGAAAGTACAGTGTGACTTCACCTGCTTGAAGGACATCTGTGTTGGCTGCACTTGGAAACTGGTAATGCCTACAGAAATATGGAGGAAGAGTAGTTCTGTTCTGAGTCCTGATAGCAGCCCTGCGGGCAGATCTTTTCCTTCTTTCCAGATCTTCTTTCCTCCACAGAAGTCCTTCAAGATATGACTGCTGCCTTTGATTTCGGAGGAAGGTTGGTAAGGAACAGCTGATGTTTAGAGGAGACGAGAAGTTTTAAAACCGTGTGTATTTGTTTTGAGCTAAACCTTGCTGCCTTCTTCCTCTTCCCATTATGGCCACCACAGCCCTCTTCCATGCTTGTCTCCCTGGGTAGGAGCATCAAAGTCTCAGAGACTGTCAAAGAAACTGCAGTGAAAACCCATCTTTTACCCACAGCTTTTAAGTCCAGTTTCAACTCTTCTGCTAAAACAGAAAAATGCACAGCAGAGCTTTGCAATACTGTCAAAGAAGAGAGAAGACACGCTTTTTTTTTTTTCCTATATTCAGGGCTTTTTAGCTGATTCCATCTGGTGCCATATTCCTACCTCTAAAGCGTTGTCAGTCAAATTCAAATTGATTCTGCTGAGATTCCCCTCCTGTGTTGTCATTTTTTAGGTAAAAGAGCTCCTTCTCAGTCTCTTCTGTCCAGGAGACTCAGTACTTTCAGAAATCAGTTGTTTGAAGAGATCCCAAACACCTGTGCCCAGGAACCTGAATTGATCCTGGACATCTCGGTCTACCAAAGGTATCTCTAGACATCTGAATTATGAAAGGATTGAGAGGAAACTCCAAACCTGTATGACGTTGTTCTTGTATTTGCCTACCATTGCAAGTATCCAATTCAATCCTACTATGGCAGAGATCCAGTACCTTATAACCCTGGGTGCTGAACCTGCTGGTGAATGGCTGCAAGTGGGAAAGATGGTGCAAAAGAAGGAGCACAACTGCTGGGCCAAGAAGAAAACTAGGATACTTTCAAAATTGTAAGGGAAAATGGAAAGAAACTCAGAAACATTGCATTCACTTTTATTTGAATGGATGCAGTCACGTGGTAGAATAAATGAAGATTGATTTTTAACTCCCTTAGTTACTGAGGACACAATTTCACCCTAACATACTGCGATTCCAATTTGCTATGAAAGCTTAGGCCACAATAGAAAAGAATATATATTTTTTGTCAAGTTTTCTTGCTCTAGGTGTAAACACCTGGAAACCCAAACAGTGTCAGCAAAACACAGTGCTGTTCTTGTGCTCATCAGCCCATGAGAGAAGCTGACTGAAGATTGTGGTGACTGGACCACAACTGCCCCAGCACATTTAACTTCAAGAGAGAGCCAGCAGTTTTGTCAGCATTCTGTGAGTTGTAGTATGAACTGGCTGGCAGCTGTGCTTCTTGAAAGCTCACTAAGTGGGAGTAGCATGGCTGCCCAACGTGGTCTGGGTGTCATGGTCGTGTCAATTAGCCCATGACCTGTGCTTGTGTTCCTCATTCTGGGTTGATGGTTGGACTAGATGATCTCTGAGGTCTTTTCCAGCCTTAATGATTCTATGATTCTATTCCTTGATTTTCCCATAGGTGTGTTGTTTCATTAAGAGATGTTATGAGGTGTCTCAAGAAGGGATTCGTTTGTTTGTTTTGCCTTATCTCATGGAATTCCCTTGTTTTCTGGGTTGCGTTTCAATTCCAAATTCTATCTGGATTCAGCCTTGCAGGGGTTTCATTAGATCTATGGGAAGGATTGAACACTACAAAATGTGCGTTCAGAGATGAACAGCAATCAGCTTGACAGTTGCATTTGACCTAAAGGACTGAGCCAATCTATTCTTGGTAGTTCAGGTTTTGGGTATCACAGAATTCTCACATAGGACAAGCTTGCTGGCTCATTTTCCCGGTGTACGCAATAAGGATATATATTTATTTTAGAAAAACACTTAACCAGGAGGAACACAACATGTAGTGAAAGATAAATTATGCAGATAATGTTCTATTATGCACACAGAGTAAAAGTACAAGGGACATGAATTTCCCCAGGGTGACACCTCAAAGAGAGGAGGCTGGGACAACACAGAAAATAAAATAAAATAAGGAGAAAGAGGAAGAGGAAAATGAATTGAATGTAGTTAGTTCTGGCAGATTTTGCTTAAAGGAGGAGGAAGACTGAATGAGCAAAAAATTGTACCAGGGGGCAAGTCCCTCTAAAGAAATGACTGTATATTGGCTATGTCACTTGTCAAGGTCACTGCTCTTACTCGTGAGGACAGGGCTTTGACCCTGCAGGTATTTATGGGGCTCAGAGTGGGTGACTGGGAAGTGTAAAAAGCATCAATGTAGAAAACATCTGGCAGCTTCTCTTCCCTCTGGGCTTTCCCTGTGTTTTAAGGTGGGGAACGCAGAAGCTTTTTGAGTTCTGGTTTGTGCTCTATGGCCCGGTGAGGTCTGGCAGCTTGCATTCCTGTACACTGTGAAGCAATGCAAGATCACTGCGACAGACAAAGCAACCCCTGCTCTTCTCAGAGGTGGACACAGAAGCCTTGCTAAGAGTGGAATAATAACTATATTGAGAGTCAGAACGTGGAGGGAGTCTGAGTGGGCTGTAACACTTCATCAGGAACAAGAAGGCAACAGCAAGAAGTTGTTTCTTGTTCACCCCCAGAGCTATACCTTGCATCAGCAGGTCTCAAAGCTAGCATTTGGAATCAGTCCCTGCTGCTGCTTGCTCTGTGCTCAGTTCCACTGTGGCAGTCCTTTTGACATGTTTGTGCTTCTCTTCACAGTGCAGCAGCCTGAATTGTGCTGAAGTGGGCAAATTAAGGGAATAAGGTAGGTTATGTGTTTTTAGTGTGTGTCGAGGGGGGGGGTTCAGACCTTGTGAGAGCTCCGTAAGGTGGAAGCCTGCTCCTGTGACTCGGTGCACGCAGGTTTTCCTCAGCGTGCTCAGCTTCTCTGACCCAGCTTTTGCAGTCTTTGACATGAGGTACTGAAGGGATGCAACGTTTCACAGGGCGTGCTGCAACCATCAGCAGAAGTGTAATTGGCTCTTCCTATGTGCCTGCCATCGCAAGCTTCACAGCAGATAGAAAATGAGAAACTAATCCTCGTGCTGGCACCACTTTGGCTCTACATTCACTCCTGTGTTGGAGGTGACTACTGTGTGCATGCTGACCTCCTGCACGCAGCCATGGTAAGGGTCACTGCCATTCCCTGTGCTTATCGTAATGCAGCCCCACATTAAGAAAAAAAGATTATCAGTCTTTTGGGATTGCGTTTACATCTGCAGGATTGGGAGCTTTTCAGGTTTTACTTTCCCTGTTATCCTCAGTACATTATTGGGCTGACTGCTCCTGCTTTGTCTGCTGTGTTTTCCCCAAGGGGCTCATTTACTGATGCTGGAAATTCTGTCTCCTGGAGACCTGGCCAATGTGATCAGAACTCACAGGTGGTATCGTACCAAAGGTTTGTTCAGGCAAGTGGTTCTCTGTTAATTTCGACTTGGGTTATTGCTGTTCCCTTTTCCTTGTCATGTCTTCCTCCTCCCTTGCTGTTTGGATCTTTCTTCCCCTGTCTTTTGAGTTTCTGACTTCTTGCCTCAAATCTAGGATGTGCTTCGCAGCATCAACTCTGCACACTGTAGAATACAGGAGAAGGTCCAATGTTTTTCTTGTAGCTGACATGTCATAACTTGCTTACCCGTTGTGAGAAACAGAGAAACAAATGGTTTGCTTTCTGCTTTCCCTCCCTTTGTTTCAGGCTAGAGATATGTGGAATGCATATGGACTATTGTTTTTCAAAGAATCTGGTATTTCTACCATCTGTGAATTTGTCTAATCCCAATAGAAGTTATTCCCCTTGATTTGAAATGTTTTCCTCTTCCCTTTGTAATGGCTGCTGGCAAAGCTGCTGTTCTGATGGATTTTGTTGGGTGTAAGTTTGATAGCTCACTTACGACAAAGGCCAGCAGTCTGTTAAGACAGTATCATCTCTGCTTTTAATCCTTCTCTGCCTCCCAGCTCACATTTAATCTAAGCATTAACCATCATTCATAGTGTTGCAAATAGCAGTTACCCTTTGCAATATTAGGAGGAAGAAACACCACAGGAAATAATGGATAGAAAAGGCAAGTGCTGAACATCAGCCTCTTTAGTTCTTGTGTATCAGTAAAGGATAAAAATAAGTGCTGTTTCATCCCTTCCTACTGGAAAAGAGGGTATTCCTCTTCTTGGGAAAGTAGTCCATGTGATGGTGAACATCTCTCAGTCATCAGCATCTTGCCTGCACACTCACAGATTTTTCTGCTTTCGTGCTGTATTTGCAAGTAAAATATCTCCAGGTTTTATTCTTGGCTTTTCTTTGTACTGTGTGTAAGTGTATTTTCTAAAGTACTTCTAAATGGCAGAAGAAAACAGCTGGTGCCCTCAGTAAGCCTTTAAAACCATATCCTACTCTGGCAAAGTTTTGCTTGGTCAGCAACCCATGTTGTGCTTATTTCTTTCACTGTCTTGCAGATTGCAATTGCATCTAAACAGGGTCTTTCTGACCAAGAGATAGCAAGAATTATGTTAGAGAGGGCATGGTCAGTCAGTGCTCTGACCTACCCTAAGTATCTGGACTGGCTACACTTGTGCAAATTATATGTTTATAAAGCCCATCATGTTGTCAGAACACTTCAACAGAGATGCTGCTGCTCCTACTTATATGAGTATGCTTTCGAAGGGCTGATCAGAAGAGACACACCAGCAAGATTATTCTCTTTAAAAGTACAGTTCTAGGCAGCAGTGTCCACAATGGGCAGTGATAATCCGTTCCATATGGATCCTTCCTTCTGATAAGTTCTCCATGATCTTAGCTCGGATCGAAGCTCACACAAGTGTTTGAAAATCAAAAAATACTCTCGTTCTCAAATAATATCAGTGCCTGTGAGGTTGCTGACTGAAAGCAGTAGGGTGTGCTTGAGGATTTCTGCTCAAGTTCATTCCTTAAGCAACTTTCCCAGCCCCTTTCTGCCTTTTTTTTTACACACGTGTAGCTAACAGGAACTACATAAGAACTCATTTAATTTCTTCACAAGTAATCATCATCATTTAAGTAGTCTTTGTGCTACAGAGACCAACTGGTTGTCCAATAAGTGTCCGGGAGAGGAACCAAACAGAAGATTTTGAAGATAAAATCAGCTCCATGTGCTACAGCTGGAGGAGAAGGCAAGTGCCATGCACACAAACTGCTGTGCTTGGTTTCCCCTATCTCTTCCCATTGGGCAAAGTGCCAGCTGAAATTCTTTGTCAGGTTGGAAGAGGAGGCTTAGGGACAGCTTACTGCATGATGAAATCTATAGATCCAGTGCAACCCAACTTCTTGGGTGAAGATATAAGGGGTTGTAGATACTGCATGTTGTATGCAACTAAACGAAGGAGTTGGGCTTTGTCATGCCTTATAGCTTCATGTCTAGAAAGAGATATAGGATAGGTGAGGCAGGAGCATGCAGGCTGGTGTGTCTGCATGCCAAATATCCTCTGAGCTAGAAGTCTGTATGTGAGGAAGCACTTCTGCCTGGAGAAGGTACCAATGTTGTGACATGTATTTAATTGTCAGTCCATGTGATCAAATGATTGGGCTGAGGATCTGCTGCTGAAGCTAGGGCCGTTGCTTTTTGCTCAGCTGCTTTGTACTTTTGGAAAGCAAGGGGAAAAATAGCTTGAATTCTGGTTTCTTTCTCCCTCCCCCAAGAACCCTGTTTTCATGATCAGGTTTGTAACCAGAGCCCAGTGTTTTCAGATTGTCTTTGATAACTTAGAAAAACAGTGTGGTGCCAAATCTTACCTTTCCATCCTGCTCCCTTTCAACAGATTTCAGTGCTGAATTCAACTTTAGGAGCATCATTCATTAGGATAAAAGTAACTGGATCTCTCTGACTGCGTAGGATATGCATATGACACGTCCTGAACTTCAGCTATTTTTCTGTGAAATTCTGCTGATGAAAAGCTGGTCGTACAGGATGGTTTGTCCTTTTAAATCTATGGCATGGGGATGACATTATTGCTTCCCATCTGCTGTCACTGAGGTCACTGCTCTGGCACAGAGCAGAACAGCTGCAGAGATTGAGTGATGGTTCTGCTGCTGCTTCCTGGAGGGATGAAAGTGGAAATAAGCCTCAGGAAAAGGAAATTGTCAGCCATGCTCCCTGTCCTGGCCATCTGAGTGTGGGAAAGGTTTGGCAAGTGTCTCCGTTTTTTTTTTTTTCCTTGGAGAAATGCAGGATCTTTGGATCTTTTCCTCTTGTCTGCTAAGCTACTGCTTAAATAGAAATGCCATAATGTACTTTCAGTGCTGATTCCTGACCTCATCCCATTTCAGGTATGGGCCCCATCTCACCCCACTGTCCAAGAAGACTGTTAATGTTAAGGATTGTCCCTAGAAGCCATTTCCAAAAAGTGTTTCTGTTCCTTTTGCTGAGGAATGAAGGCTGTACATCACAAACCAGGACAGTAAGGAATAACCAGCCTGCCTGGCACAATGAAAAACATCCCTGATGGTTTCTTCTGTCCAAGTTTCCTTTGCTAAAATTCCTATAATGCAGGAGAGATAGGAATGCACAGCACAAGGAGAGCTCATGACCTGAGAAACAGGATATACATGTGAGTAAATTTGGAGGATGAAGGTGACTGCCCATCACCAGCTATTCTGAGTGGAAATCTAGCACAGCAGAACGCCGGGGCCAGGAAGGACAGCATTTGCACAGTGCACACTGCCCACTGGATAGAGTGCTTTTTCAGAGCTGTGTCTTTACACCTTTACAATCTAAGTAAAGTGGAGAAATAAATCATTGTGCACAGTTGTCATCTTTCCCCCCGGTAGCACCAGCCAAAGAGTTTAAATATAGCTAAACCACAGCATTTCCCTAGAATAAATGCTCAAATGTTCAGAATAAATTGCCAGGTCCTGGTATCACAGGAATGATTTATAAACCAATTATACTGGAAATTTTATTCTCCATTGTTGCTCTTATAGATTATGGGTCAATTGGTTATTTTACTCCTGTAGGAACTCAGCCTTATTCTGCCATAAAGTGTTAAAACTTGACATACTGGGATTGGTTCTGTCCCCCTTGCAATATGCTTCCAGTTTGAGGCAAAACTTCAGAAATCATTCTGCCAGGCAGTTTTTATGTAGTTTCGTCCCTGTTTGTTCCTGAAGACATCAGCAGGAATGAAGAGAGCTGCTTTCTGTTAAATCACCTTTCTCCACCTAATCTTCTCCTGTCCTGTCTGTTTTCTTGTCGGACTTGGATTATGCAGATGATGTTTGTGGTACTGCTAAATCTGTAAATAATTAGCCATTGCACCTCCAGCATCCCTGACAGCATCAGTCACAGGGCTGGGGGCAGCAGCTATGAATTGTCCCTGAAGAAGTGTATCTCTACATAGTCGGTGGATGTAAATACTAGGAATATAAGATTAGCAACACTGCTTCAGATCACCAGGGACAGTATCCAGTTTCCATCTGACGTCATAAGCAGATACCTGGTAGAGAATAAGGATAGAGCAAGCATGCTTTATCTATGATGCTCTCCCCTCTCTGAGTGTTCAAGTTTGATTTTTTTTGAAGATTCCTGTGACTCTCAGTAAGCCACGCTGGGTATCTCTGATACCAGTTATCCAATCTGTCTTTGAATATCAATAATTCTAGCAATTAGCTACATTAGCTTTTACCTCTACACTGGAGCAAAACCGTAGTTACTCTAAAGCCTTTAGCTGAATCATTTTTTTTTTATTGGTGAAACTTGAACAAGGAAGGAATTTAACCATGACAGTTAATGAGTATAGAAGAGGAAATTCAGGGGAAACCAGTTTTATGACTATGCCCTTCAAGACTTCAATTGCTTCAGCAATGCAAATGGGTTAGTACATTTTAATTCTTTTAATAGACTTATCCATGTCTGTATTTTTTTTTTTTTTTTTATGTCTGTATAAGCCAGGAAGGGAATCCAGCCCAGGAGTTTTGTATTATCTTTGTATCTTCTCCTCCTCCTCTTTTTTTTGCCATTGGAAAGCTGAAGTTAAAAGAGAATAGAAATCCATTCCTGGCCGCATTTCAGCCACACTGATGCAAGACCACAGGCGAATGGTGTTGGTATTGTGATGCTCAGCCTTTTCCACATCGTGGATGTGGTTCTTAACATCCCAGAGCTGGCTGGAGTAGGAAGCATACGTTGAGCCAGGTTTTTCCTCAGAATGTGCAACTCCCCTCATTGACTTCTCTCCCCACATTTCCGTTCATCTAACACATGAATACAACAAGCACTGCAATAATTAGAACATCACACCATCCTATAGCATTCACAAATCATTATAGAGCAGTTCTGTTTTCAGCATTGATGGAATGGGTAAGAAGTCAGAAAGAATAGAGTTCCACTGGTGTGAGCTGAAGATCACTGAAGTCAATATTCTCACGTACCAGTTAAATGCTAAG